ATAAAGCCCTAAATGGCTTGGGCCCAGGGTACTTGGAGGACCACCTCTTCCTACATAATCCGTCCCACACACTCCGATCATCTGGGACTAATCTGTTAGAGGTCCCCAAGTCTCACTTTGTGAAGACCTCTCAGAGGGCTTTTTCCATCGTCGCCCCTTCCTTCTGGAATAAGCTTCCCGCAGAGCTCCGCTCCTCTGCATCACTAGTCTCTTTTAAGAAAAATCTAAAGACGTATATATTTCAGTTGGCATTTCCACCTTAAGTAATGGTATTTTTTCTTTCTCTGCCCCATGCGTTTTGTTGACCCCAGACTGTTGTAATTTGAAATGTAATTTTCCCACTTCTTGTCCCTGATATTTGTGATTTGCTTGATTCCTGTTCCTTTTCCCTGCACCGATGTTTTTAACCTTTATATTGTAACAATTTTAACTTTGTTACTGTTTTAACTCTTTGTAAGCCGCCTTGATCATATCCATGGAAAGGCGGGGCAAAAATAAAAATTTATTATTATTATTATAAAGTCCTCTGTTGGTAACTTTAAATACTAACTGCTGGTGTAACTTGTTCTGTGTGGTGTGGCTTCTCCCAAATTTGCACACTATGGTCCAAAACATTGCAGAAATCATCCAGTGTGAGACCACTTTAACTGTTCTGGCTCAATGCTAGGGAATTCTGGGAACTATAATTTTGTGAGACATGTGATTTGGACCTATATCAGTCTCTTCTGGACTAAAGAGGTGTCACATATTATATTCTTCCTGGACTGGTGTCTCAAAATCTATTTCTCCCTAAATTTGACCCCTCATAACCAGGAGCTCGAGATAGAGGCCTTCACCCAACCATCTCATTATTGCTTTGATTTTAAAACATGACACTAGGAGGATATAAGATTGCTATTCTGTTGGTGGCAATAGTTGAATATTCTGTCGGTGGTAGTAGTTGCATACTTTCTGGATGCAAATAGAGTGAGCTTGTGTACCTTTTAAAAAAATTCTTTACAACCTGCAGCTAATATACTCTGGAAAGGGCCTTCACCCATACAATCCCTCCCTGCTTTTAGATTTACAAAATGAGTTCTACACAAAGCAATATTTACTAGTGAATGTTGTTGTTGTTTTGTGCCTTTTGTTTCCAACTTATGGCAACCCTAAGGTTATTATGGTGTTCTCTTGGCAGGAGTTGTTCAGAGGAAGTTTGCCATTGCCTTTACCTGAGGTTTAAGAATGTGACTTCCCCAAGGTCACCAAGTGGATTTCCATGGCTGGGGAGGGGGGGATGAACCCTGATTGCTCAAACCATTACCCCATGCTGGGGGGGGGCAGGGGAGAATCAGTGAGGGTTTGGGTTTTGTCTATTTTGGAGGGGAGAGAGTTTAAGTGTCAAAACTGGAAATATCTCTTGAGTGTGATGTACTAGAGAGTGTTAAACTTTTCTACTTTTGGGAAGATAATGTGTGTGTGCATGCAACATGGCATAGTTCCCGCTCTTTCCTCAGTTCCTCATAGTTCCCGCAAACATGGAATGTCATCTTCTCAGTCATTGAAATGCCGTTTCAGCTCTTCCTATCAACAACTTTGGTATCAACAAGCACACCACTCTTATCAGCAGCAAGATCTAACACAAATCCAAGGTCAGTCTTCCCAGTCTTCTTCCTCCTCTTCGGGCCGTCAGCACTGTCAAGATTTTAGGAGGAAACCCTTCGATGCTGGGAAAAGGAGGGCATGAAATGGGGCCGCGCACTTCGTTGATCTGCCCTTTGGCGACAGGTTGAGGCCTTATTTTAACACCTGGGCCTCGATCACATCCGATTCTTGGGTGCTTGACATCGTTTGTAGGGGCTATACACTTGAATTTGAAGAGCTCCAACTGGAGCTGTTGTTTCCACAAACCCCTCAAACACCTTACTCAACGAAGTACGTGCCTTGATGGACAAAGGAGCTATCGAACCCGTAGACCCCTTTCAGGATCTATACTGCTTCTTACGGTATTTCACAGTTCTGAAAAAAGACTCTGGCACCAGGCCCATATTGGACTTGAGGGGTCTTAATACTTTTGTCCGGTACCAACGGTTCCGTATGCCAACCCTTCTATTTTGCCCCTTCTGCAGAAGGACCACTGGTTCGCGACGGTCAATCTCAAGGATGCATACTTCCACGTGAGCATCCGAGAAGATCACTAGAGGTTCCTGGCCTTCGCAGTCGGAAACAACATTTATCAGTACAAAGTCCTTCCATTCAAAATATCGTCGGCACCAAGGGTCTTCACCAAGTGCATGGCCCCAGTTGCAGTTTACCTTCATCGGAAAGGAATAACGGTCTTCCTGTACTTAGACGATTGGCTCTTTACAGCACCATCCTGAGAGAAGCTCCAGGAGGACATTCAATTTGCTCTGTCACTGCTGAAGGCTCTCGGACTGAAAGTCAAC